GATCCTCGACGACGTCAAGCGTGGCGAGATCCGACCGGAGCTCATGGCCGACTGCCCGCCGTCCTACCGCAAGGTCGTCGAGGGCTGCTTGAAGCGCGACCCGATCGAGCGCCCGAACGCACTCCAAGTCCTCGAGTGCTTTGTGTTTGCCGTGCACGCCAACAAGTAGCGCTGGCCCCTGCATTGCTATGTTGGCCCTAAAACGAGTTTTATTTTCGCTACATACTCGTCTGGTGTGGCCACGACGACGGTGGCATCATGTAGGGTTGGGTGTACGGCGGAAGTGTCGGGTGCTGGTGTTGGTGGTGTTGCTGCTGCTGCTGCTGGTGGTGTTGGTGTTGTTGCTGCTGCTGCTGGTACTGTTGCTGCTGTTGAATATGGTGCTGGTATTCCAAGTGGCGCTGGTAGTCTTGCTGCCTCAGCGCTTCAGCTTGTTGCTGCAAAAGTGCATGCTCATGGGCTTGCTGCTGCAGAAGTGCTTGCTCATGGGCCTGTTGCTGCAGAAGCGCTTGCTCATGGGCTTGCTGCTGCAGAAGCGCTTGCTCGTGAGCTTGCTGCTGTAGAAGCGCTTGCTCGTGGGCGCGTTGCTGCTGCGCCACGTAGTCGTGCAAAAAGGCGTGGACGGCGTGCATGGCAATCTCGCAGTGCTCGCGCGACCTTGTCCAAGGTACATAAACAGAAGGCTCCAAATGGCTCATGAGCACATATACCCGTGGATGCACAGTGTCACGTTGGTTTGCCCGCGCGGCGGCGCCTTCCCGAGCGTGATGTAGGTGCCCGACATGTCCTATCTCGGAATCGAAGCCACGAAGCGACCGTCACTTTAACGTACCATAAAGTGCTTGAGACCCGCGTCGTCGTTGGCGTGGAGAAGCTCGACAATGTCCATGGGAATTTGAATGTAGACGGCCTCGGAGAGATCGACGCGGCGCCGCGTGTTGGACGCATTGGCCGCCTTGCTCTCGTCGTCGTCCACCATCATCGTGTCGTCACTAGCGCCCGTGAGTACGGTCGACGGCCAAGACGAAGCCACGCACCTTTCGTCCACTAACGCTTGGGCTGGCGACTCGGCAGGTACGGCTGCATCTGTCGTAGCGACCGGCGTCGGCGTGGCCCGCGCGTCGCCGCCACCCGACTTGTTGGCGCGTTGCACCTTGTCCATGAGCTGCGAGTTGGGCAAGAATTCGTCAACGACAAAAGTAAAGTCGATGCAGTGGCTCTTGACCCACGTGGACGTGAGCACTTGGCCGTGGAAGCGGCGCTAGTCGGTAATGTCCATGAGGACGCACGCTTCGACGCGCGTGTGTGTACCTTCTGCATGCAATGGTCGCGAAACATGTCGTTCGTGACGACAAAGCCGTCGTGCTTGATCGCATAGTCGATCACGTAGTAGTCGTCGTGGGCTTGCGGAGGCGTGAGCACGAGCTTGCCCTCGGCCACGAGCGCTCGCACTTTCTCCTGGCTACCCTCGTCCTGGAAGTACTTGGTGCCATCGAGCCAGTAGCGCGGCGCGAACGCCACACAGCGCAGCTGCAGGCGCGCAAAGTAGTCCAAGGCGGCGCGGACTCGGTCGATCTGGAGGTTGCCGGCTGTGATCGTGGCCACGTTGGCTGCGTCCAGCACGACGAGGGCCATCTTGTAGTAACGTCGCCTTTGCCGCCGATGTCAACTCTGGGCCGCCGGATAAGATGACGAGCCATCCGGATAGTCGGACTTGACGCTCAGTGTAAGATCTTGGAGATGGACTTTGAGCGGCGGCTCGCCGACATGGACTGGCGGCTCGTCGACGCCTTCGACCTGCAGCACATCGACACGGTGCTACTGCAGGAGATGGTGCCATCGGTCACGTACGGCCTCGTGACCGAGGCCATGTGCGCGTCGCCGCGGCTGGCCTGCAAGCTCATCTGCATCCTCCAGCTCATGCTTGAGATGTTTATCGGCTGCCGAAAACATGATGCGTACGACGTGCAATTGCTCCAAGATGACCTCTCGAGCGCGCTACGGGACCGAGACGCGTACCGCTTGCGGCTCAAGGAGGCGCTCACGGACACCAAGGCGCTGAAAGTCCAGCTCGCGCGGACGACGACGCTGCTCAAGAGCTGCGGCCACGTGTTGCATGCCCACGGGTGCTCGCCGCACGCAATTGCCGCGCTCGAAGCGTTGCTGGCCACGCCATTGACGGCCAGCGCCGATGCCGCCGTCAAAGTGGCGCACCTCTGCGCATTCTGCGGCAAGGCGTTTGGCACACAAGACTACCTTTTGAAGCACCTCGAGCGCCGTCATCCCGGCGGCACTGTCGATGCAGCGTCGCCGGTTAGCACCACTGCATTTTGTGCAGAAAAATCTACCAAATGTGATGTGAGTAGGAAGCAGAGGACCCGGCGGTCGTCTACGCCAAGCCTGCCACGACGCGGATCAAACCGTCGCTGCCCGACTACCAAGCCGTTCTAAGCAAGCTCGAGGCCATGCTCTCGCAGCACGAGGTGTCGATTCGCGCCGTGGCGGCCGACGAGACAGCCAAGCTCAAGGCGATGCAGACCGAGATGCACCTCGAGAGCGGCATCAAAACCGAGCTGCACGTCGCACGCGCCGCTGTCAACGCTCGGTACCATACGGCTGGGTGCTATGACATCAGGACACGTCTAGGCTGGACGACGCGCAGCGTCACTTGGCCCAGGTCTTGGAGGAGCGTGAAGACGCCATGGTCGGTGCTTTGCATTCAACGATAGCGCACCCTCATGCATGAGGTAGAAACAACTGTTGGATCTCAAAGACGAGATTGCGCTGCTCAGACAAAAGCAAGCGATGCAGCCGCCGCCGCCAACTCGGATCGACGCTGTCGAGCCCAACGTCAAGGACCGGCTGACGATTGAGCGGCTCGAGGCCATCGTCGGGCACTCCAAGGACGCACTGGCCGTCGCGCGGGACGACTTGAAAACGACGCATGACAAGTACGCCGACTTGCTCGTCACACACGAGCGCACCAAGTTCGAGCTTGCGGCCGTCCAGAAAGACCTGCACGACGCACGGCAACCGCCGATGCCAGTCCCGACAGCGTCCGTCATGTGCCAAACAACCACAGCGGCCGATACGAAGGACGCGGCGGCGCAAACGATACTGGTTGTCGACGCACCTCCGCCCAAGGCGCAGGTCCTCGAAGCTGCGGCCGAGCCCGAGCCAGTATACGACGTGCCTCCGATTCCAATCCCGCCCACCTCTGTAGAGGTGGCGCACACCGGTGTACAGACCGACGCCATGGTAGACCAAGCACCGCTTGTACCACAAGTGGCATTTGAGCCAGAGCCCGTCGAGGTCGTGCCAGAGCCCGTCGCGTCCGAGCCGACACCACGTCCAAGCGCGCGGCTTCCGCCCGAGCTCCGTGCCGTACACATTGAAGACGTTCTGGTGCAGATCATGGCCCGAGCTGAGAGGTAGGCGACGCTTTTGCGTGGGACATACTGTACTGTATGGCATAGACCGGGCGCGATGACGTCCAATCTCGCATCGGAACACGTGCTGGCCCGTCGCCCGTTCCTCAAGAGCGCCTGGCCGCATGCTGCGACGGCCGTCGAGACGCGCATGAAGCAGCACTTGGAGACGCTGGACCACATGTGCGAGCGCTATGGTGTGAGTCGGGTAGCGACGAAGTTGAGTTCATCGCAGCACGCGCTCGCGACGACGGCCCTCAAGGCGCACTTGCACGCGATGCCGGTGGCCGTGCTGCAGAAGATGGTGGCCGTCGACACGACGGCCGAGGCGCTCGTGACCTCCGAGTGGCTTCCGACCGAAGCGTCACGGCAGACGGCATTGGCCGCGATCCAAATGCGCATGGACGAACAAGACGCGACGCAAACCCACTGGGTCCAGCGGATCCTCGAGAAGAAGACGGCGCCCGACGACCCGCCGGCGACGCCGACGACGCTGACAAAAGTACTTCGGCGCCCGCCACCGGTCGACATGGCGGCCTCAGAGACGAATGCACCGCCGACAACCCACAACGTCCAGGAGGCGATTCAAGCATCGGCTGCAAACCATGAGCCAACCGCGGCAGCATTGGGAAGCGTGTTCAAAGACAACGAAGGCGTGAGCGTGTCGATGAATGCGCCCCGAGAGCCGAGATCAGTGACGACTGCCGTGTCGGTCGTCACACGAGAGCAAGCCCCTGCTCTGATCCAGTCGCGTGCCAGTCCCCTCGAATCACGCAACGTAGAAGCAGCATCGTTCGCGATGCCAGTGCCAAGGACGGTCCACCCTACCCCGGAGCTACCAGTGCACCCGGAGCTCGATGCGGGACGTACCACTGCTATCACGGAAGCACCTCCGACCGTCGCGCCAAAAGCAGCTCACGTCATCTCCGTGGGGCGTAAAGCTACGCCGCACAGAGATGAAGAAGTAGAAGAGGCACGCAGCGTAGAGCTTATTACGTCGCCGCTAAACGCCGCAGAGCTGCCGAATCCTCGTGACGAAGCGCCTTCCACGGAAAGTTTCCGTAGAGAAGCGGACGAGACGGCGGCTATTGCGAGCCTTGCTGCGTCGCGTTGCAGCAGCGATGCAGTCGACGAAGCGCCCTTTGTCGCCGACAACTTGCGGACGAAAGGCGTTCTTGGCGACGACCACGAGGCGTTCCACGAGGTAGACGGCCCCTGCACGCGGTCGACTGGTATCATTACTTGTGCGTTAGGCGAAACAACATGCAAGAGCGATCGATGTGGATGACGACGAAGATCGCAGCCATGTCCAAGACGTCGGTCGGTTGCCCACCGAGGTATTGTGTCTTTCGAGGAGAAGATATGACAACCATCATGACACATGCAACAGGACGCTCCAGCCCAACATATGGATAAGGAGGAAGCGCCCAAGCGCCCTCTGTCCCCAGAGGATGGCGGTGCCACTGGTCGATATTCGCTGGCGACCGCAGATGACGCACACGATGACGACATCCAAGAGCTTGACATCAGCGACAGCATGGTATTGCAGCAACCTCGTATGAGTGTCTTGTCGGACTGCGCCGGCGACGTCTCGGGCGACGAAGATGCACCAGAGATTCCATCCATCGAAGTGGACTCATCGCTAATCGACCAACATCCCATGGCCAACGCCGCGTCTCCCAAAGCGGTCAAGAGAGACGCCGACGCGGAGGACGAGGCGTATCCAGCTCCAGATCTCGGCGGCGTCTCGATAACAAGTGCGGGCGATGAGCAAACTGGATCTGGATCTGGCCACGACGAGACACCAACCGCGTCCATGATCGAGGCGCCGAGTCGAACGCTCCGAGCCAGCAGCGTGCTTTCGTCGATAGAGTCGATCCCAGACGACTCGGCGGTCGAGAGTTCTGTCCTGGAGTCGTCCGTACTGGAATCCTCAGTGCTCGAGGGGACCGTAGTCGACACGTCCTTCATCGAAGAGTCGGTCGAGTCCTTTGCTGCAACAGATCCCGCTGTCTTGCGCGGCAGGGACATGGATGACGACCCGTTCGCGCGGCCAAAGACTGCACCACGTATGAGTCTCCGCGACAGCTTGCTTCACACCCAACAGTCGACACCATCTCGGTCGTTTTCTCGTCCCAGCATAAACCGTTGGGGCAGTGATGATGATGATGATGTCAATCTACCAGATGCAACGCCACTGCAGAGGTAACTCATCGACTTGAGTGTGTGTTCTCATGACGTCGTGCCTGTAGCCTGCGCCACAATGGCACGATGGGTACGTCCTCCAACTCTAGCGTTTACCCAAGCGATCCCGCTGCCTTCGTGCGTAGACGACGATCTGGAAGAGGAAGAGCTTGCGTAATCAATCGACACAATTCTAGACATCCAAAACGATAGATCGTCGCGCGGCGGCAGTAGGTGCACCAAGAGAAGCTTGAGCGCGACACCAAGACCTTCGTTCGTCTTGGCGCTCACTGGAAAGCAGTCGAGTCGCACCTGCTCGTGCCACATTTGGTCGCCCGCGTCCAAACGCTGCTGGCTAGGACAGTCCGCTTTGGACTGGAGGACCACCGCCGGAAGCCCGAAGTGGTGATCAGGACTAGGGTACATTGTTTGCAGCACGTCGTAGTAGGCCTGCACGTGCTTGCAGCTCGAGGCGTCGGTCGTGCTCGCGACAAAGATGACGGCGTCGGCGCCTTCCAGATACGCTGTCTCCTTTGAGAGATGCGGCGTCGACGGCACATCCCACAACTGCATCGTGCATCGCATCAGCCAACCAATCGACTTGTCCATAGCACGTACTTCCATCACAATCGTCGGTCCACCGTCGAGTGCGATCGACTTGAGTCCGATGTTGACTAATAACAGCTCGAAGCTCAAGTATCAAGGGTGTCGAGGAGCGACTGTACCTCCAACGTCGACGCGGGGCGCGCTTGGCTCAAACTGATTGCGCAAGAGGCGATAAAAAGATGCTGGTTTTGCCGACTCGGGGGCCGCCGAGAGAAGCACCTTGATCTTCTTGAGTGTCACCACGTC